TTTTGTTGTTGCAATTAGAGTTTAAATTGGCTTCCGTGATTTAATATTTTCCAATCTTCCATAAGTTTTAAGGCTTTTTATTGTATCTCGCAACTAGCCGAGGCACATGACTTCACTTGACAGACAAAACATATACAGACAAACGAGGAAAAATGAAGAACAATGTGTACTTGGGAAACGATTTTCAAAGAAAAACAGTCTCTTATCATGCTTCAAAGAAGACATTTTTGTAGCTAAAAGACTGGTTAAAATTTTGAGACGTTTAGTTGTTTGAGATATGATCGTGTTGGTTGCAAAGGAGTCTGGACAAAGGACTTGAAAGACACAAGGATAAGAACAAAAAGGAGAAAGTTTGATTCTGGTCTTAAATGTTGCAACCAATGCAACTTCATCCACACCACACATCAATTGGATGTCCACATGACGACAATGACTTTCTTAACTCAACAACTATAAAATTTTAACGATAACAAAAACCATAACATAAATTAAACCGATGATAAAATAATTGTAAGTACCATTTAAACATAAATCATTACTCAATTTCACATAAAATTTAGTCATATAAATTAAAAAAAAATCATTTTAAGTGTTGAAATAACATGTTTTAATTACTTTTTATGCATACACATACTTTTCTTATAAAAATCAAACTTTGAGTTGACTGCAATACAATATAACAAAAATATATTATCACGCATTTATATTAATAAATAATTTAAATGAGCAATAAAGAAAAGCCACCGCACACAGTGACTCCAATGCACCTACCTTTAAATTCATTTGTCTAAATGGTTTAAAGAATCAGTACCCATATGCTCCCTTTGCCTAAAACCATTTTTTATTTTTATTTTTCTAAAAAAATATTAAAAATTCCTATAAAAAGTTTATTTACATGTCAAATGATAATAACATTTAATATACTAACAAGATCAATTATAAATTGTAGTTTTTTTTTTCATTTTAATCATTGCACGTGAACGTTTTTACTAAGTTATATGTTCACGAAAGAAGATAAATCGTAGAACGAGACAATGAAGGCTCGTGAAATAGACAGTAAACATGAATTTTTGATAACATGCCACAGTGAATATGTATCCTGGCTTTGTTTTTGTGTTGAATTGGTTGAATCCAACCCGTAACTTGACTCGTGAGAGATCGAGAATCGAAAACTTCAGATCCTATACCTACTGAACATTAATTATATCTCCTAAACTACAAATCATTATTCATGAAATGATTGAGAGAGAGTAACGACTAGCAATGAGTCATGTATTTTCTAAACCAAGGGGTATATTAAATTATTATGTATTTTATGTTTGCTTCCAAACATTTAAAATAATTTATTTGACTTTTGGCTTTAGCCTAACAAATACCTTTTATTTTATTTAAATTGGTTTAAAATTGATATAAAAATAATAATAATATCTATTTCATTACTATTTAATAATTGTTGGATCATTGAAAAAAAAATACTAAAAGGATTATTGATCCATATAATTGCTTAGCTTATTTTGTATCGTTAGAAGCATTGTTTCTTTAACGATCAATAACCATAATAAAAATAATAATATTTTCAATAGTCTTTTTCATATATAAAATAACCAAAAAAACATTATAGTTTACAAAATAATTTTTCATAAGTTAATTGTAAAAATATAAAAAATCATTTAATTAACATTTAGTGTTTGATAATACTCATATTTTAATATAATTTATGTATTTTAATGAATAGAAATAATTTAAACATTGGCATTAATGGTTGTGTCTATGAAAAATAATAAAATCTCGTAGATTTCATTGTAGATGTACGATTAAAGAACGTAAAAAACGTGGTTAGAGATCATAAATTCTAATAATAATAATAATAATAATTTGGGGTTAAATAAATAAAAATAAAAATTTAAAATAAAATAGGTGAATGCATTGATTAAAGTGGGATTTGTGTCCTAAAATCAAGTAAGAAGGGGACTTGTGGAAAGCCACCGACACTCTCAAATGTCTCATGCAAACGTACAACTCTCACTGCCACTTGTACATCTCTTTACCACTTTTAATGCATGATTTACAAGCTCTGAATGCATAAAGTGTTTACGTGGTTATAGCCTTAATGTACACCGACAGGGTAGCATCATCAATTAGTCCAAATGAGTTGTCTCATTGGAAGTTGTACCAAACACACATGATTAAATACCACATTTTAATTTCAACATTAATTATTTTTCATTTCTTTATATATGATTAGACTCAATTCTTTTATGCCCAATTTTAGTTTTATTATTATATATACTAATACTAATACTAATTTTTATTTATAAGTGTCTCTTTTTTCTTTTTTATGGTACTTTAAATATAAATACCTTTTGTGTAACGTTATTTTGTTGGAATCAAGTGTAAAGATTTGGACATTAATTGGTTGTTCATATATTATTTATTTTATATACAAATGTTTATTTAAATATAGATATTTCTTACACTTGATCAAACCCATGATTGCAAAAAAACAAATGCAACTAGGTGTACCATAACATGCTCCTTTATTAGCATAAAACCCAACTATACATTAAAAACTATGTTTATTGTAATTTTATATTTTTTTCAATGCAATTTTTTTATTTTATAATTATCTTATTTTAATCGAAATAGAATTATAGATCAACAATAAGAATATACAGTATGAGCATTTTTATCTGTTAAATTGTGAGATTTTCTGAAATCTTAATAGAAAGTATCTGTAAAGTAATTATGTAGATTCTCTACGATTAAAAAGGAATGTTTCATCGGTGATCTATGTTTAAGCTTGCAAACAATGATCTTTTTCTTCGTTCTATTCATTAATGACTATAAATCTTGTGACAAATATGTTTTTACATATATTACATATATATATGTGGTATTTGAATATAAGAGGTTGTTTACCAAACGTTTAACCGGACAAATGTTTACCAAGACACGTTACCTTACCGGATGAATATGATAAGGACCAAAGAATCTTACCCGGTAAAAATGAAGCAAAGACCAAGTCTTACCCGGTAAGTGAGTGTGACGACTCTTACCACAGCTAGCGCTTACCGGGTAAATTGTTATATACAATGTCGTTTTAATAGATTAAAATTTTACCAGATAAGTAAATGATAATATTAAATTTTACCGGTAATCATTTACTGAATAAGTGTTTAGTAAATGACCCCTTATTCAATTAAGTCCAACTCTCATATACATGGATTTAACAAAACTGTGGATCGATAACATCCAATAAAATCCAACACAAAGTATCTTGTTTTATAAACCGGATCTTATTGAGTTTGTAGTTTTAATCTAGATTTTGAGTGATGAAAGAAAAAAAGGATGCTTTATGAAGAAGGGTCTTATAACATGAGAGTAGGGTCACGTGACACACATTTTTTTGGCACGTTGATATGTGGGAATAACAGCTGACTTGCACATGCCACTCTGCTATTTCATTATTATTATTATTTAATTTTATTTATTCTGTTTCGTATTTATGAATCCCCCATACCATACCTATACCTACCTATATATCTTAACCAAATATTAATTACCAAAATTCCAACAAAATCAATATTTACATTTAACTCATATCACCTTACCAAATCAACGTAATATTGACTTAAAACCTTATCTGATAAAAATAAATCGAAAACCAAAAGTTATATCCAGTAACTGTGAGTAATGACTCTTATCTAATTATTATTTACCAGGTAAATTATTGTATACGATGTCGTTTCATCATAGACTAAAATTTTACCTGATAAATGATATTAAAATCTTACTAGTAAATGGCTTATTAATTAATCACATACAGTATAATTAAATCATTATAAAAAGCAATAATTATATTATTAACCCAAGTAATTTAATGGTAGTTGATCAAAAGGTTATGGATTCTCTTAACAATGATTAGGTTTACGTACAACTTTAATTTTTTTTTTAATTATTATTATTAAAAACAGTATGGCTTTCCTTGTAAAAAGTAAAAATGCTGTCAATAAATTAAATAGTTGTGAATTTTTTTTTTAATATACAAAATAAGTTAATAATCCATATAACAAAATGGCAGCTTAATCCATATATTCTTTTTGTTTCTTATATTTCAAGTGTGCTTACTTTATTTAGTATAACAAATAGGTGACGTAGAAAATACCAATTAAATAAGTATTTATGAATAAGAATGATGGAAAAAGTATAACCACCATTTGTTTAGACATCAATTATCGAATATAGACTTTTACGTCTTTTTATATTAATTTTAATTTACAAAAATATAAAATTAAGCATTTTACAAGTTTACATTATAAGATGTATCGATCATAAGACGATAGTCATATCAAACATCGTTGTTTATTTAAGATTTTAAAAAGAATATATTATATGTAAATATAATGTGGATGAAGGGTAAAATGGTAATAAAGTAATAAGATGGTAAAAGAAAAGTCAAATATAGAAGTTGAATAAGTAATGGTATTGTTTGGTGTCGGTTGTTGTATTTTGGAAAAATCTTTTTATGCCCGTTTAATTTGTCCTATGTGTTTTGTACTTGGTCTTGATTTGATGGCTTAACAAACTCTTCACCCACCCCCTCATCTTTATCAATAATGCAATTTCAACCCCTCCCCCTTTCTCGACCGCTCCTTCACTCGTCTTACTTACAAGTTACAATGTAAAATCTCTTTATTTCCCTTCTTGTAGGCACGACTTTGATATGAACCGTCTAAGGATTTTTCTAAAACTGAAACAACCAACTTTTTTGTGTCAATAGGATATGTAGAGTGTAATAATTAGTAAGGTGTTGTAACACCCTAAAAGTTGGATTAAGTTGTAGTGCATTTGTTGAGATGGATGTGAAAGTTTTAAAGTAGTAAAAGATGAAGTATAGGGGCTAGTTGGTAATTACCTGATGTTCCAAGGGTATATCACCATGGTTGTAGTAAAACATGTTCAAACTTAAAATGTGTGTTCATGGAAACGGAGAAGGGTGACAACGGTTGTTTGTGAAGGTGACCATCAAGTGCTCAATCACAAGGCAACTGAAGAAAAAACATACGAATCGTTTTATCTGGAATTGCAGACAAAAGCCAAGAGAAAAAGGTTGTGTTTTGAAGCAAAACAGTTAGAGGAGAGTTCAAAAGCAAATCAATGAAATTAAGGTATGTTTTAAATGCAAAGGTTGTTTTTTAACATATGATGTTATAATGTTGTTTAACATTGAACTAAGATTGGGAATGAAGCCATAAAGATGTCTATTTGATGATAAATGGAAGTTTTAGTGATGCAAGTATGATCAGTCGCTTTAATCCCAAATTGATACGTATAATTAATGTTATAAGGTACCAATATGTAGTAATGAATGATCAATCAAATGTCTATAGAATTAGTAAACAATGACTTATAAATAAGTTACCAAATACATTTTTATCATTTTGTTCAAAATATGTAGTTTGTGTTACGAACATGGCCTCTAAATGACATTGAGGTTGCATAAAGGAAGCTCGCAAAGATTAAACAGGGTGCACGATAGGACTTTCCAGGAACACTGAGGCAAACTCAAGCTTGCATAATTCATGTTGACCAGTTGGAGCGAGCTAATTTGTGCTAGCAACCTAAGCTCACATTATGTAAGCGACTTCCAAGTCGCTCATGAAGTCTTATCGGTATAGACGGTTAACTCAGCTGAGTATTTGTATTCATAATCAATGTAAGTGATTAGACATGTTCATGGCTTGTGTACGTAGCTTCCATGCAAAATAAATTTACCAACATGGCCTAGGGTCGAGTTTCATATAGGTTACATATGATAGTATATGATATAAATATTTCTAGCAATGATCATCGTTTACAATTTTATTCAATATCTTCAACTACGTGTTCATGTCTAACTTTTTAGAAATGTTACAGTATTTCCAACTGTGCTTCAATATGTTCATATATCTTGCTTGCATGTTGTATGTTTCTAAATCTTTCAAGCATGCATAGTGTTTTACAATACAATTTTTTCATGGGCATGTTGTGGGGTCGTATGTTGAAAATTGGTACTTTTAGGCGGAAAACAAAAAGATGCATAAATACAGTACAACCTCACTTAGCGTAAAACTAATAGTAATATGCATCAGGGAAATTGTTAAGTAGGAATCATTGTAGGAAAAGAGCACATGTAATATCTTTTGTCTGAGTTCATTTACATTATATTGCTAAGTTGAATTTACGTCAAATAAGACATGTGTTAGTCTTAGATGTTTAAGAACTTAGGGGCCGTTTACTAAACGCTTACTTGGATAAGAGCTTACCAAATCACATTACCTTACTAGATGAATATGGTAAGGACCAAGAATCTTACTCGGTAAGAGGGAGGCAAGGACATGAGGTAAGAGCAAGACAAGGACAAAAGTCTTGCCCGGTAAGTGAGGGTGATGACTCTTACCACGGTAAGCGCTTACCAGAAAAATTGTTGCATACAATTTCGTTTTTGTGAACCAAAATCTTACCCGGTAAGTAAATGATAGTGTTGAATTTTACCGGTAAGCGTTTACCGGTTAAGTGTTTGGTAAACGATCCTTATGAATGATTATAGATTTTTATATTGTTGGTTACTATTTATGTTCTATTGTTAGAATATCACTACTTTAGGAAAATATGATGTGATAATTAGAAAAAAAGAATGATAAGGTTACTCAAAGAACATAAAGAGATGAAAAGTTGTTGTAATGTGCAAATCCATTTCCTTAATACAATTCGTCATTTTTTTTTGAACTTTGAACTCCATATGACTTTATCAGTTCTCATACGAGAAGAAAGATTTGCAGACAGCTTGAAAGAAGGAAGACGGATCTAGTGATTTCCCTAATTTTGTGAGAAACAAAAACTAGTCTGTTAAAGCTGGGGTAGCGAATCAATCAACGTAATGGGTCCCTGTGGTTCATGAGTGAAGGCATTGAATGAATCAAGATCTTGTGAATTGATTGTCTTTCTTGAATCAAATCATGACCCGTGCCGAGTAAACAAATGCATTTCCATAAGCAAGTTTGTTTCTTCGTCTACCTAACGGACAATCGACCCATTTTCATTTCTTTATTAGAAAAATCAACAATCAAATTTCGCTCGTGATTTTTTTTTTATGTTCGAGCAATCAAATGAATAAACAAATTCAATAAATCAAAACAAATGTAACGGACGACCCATTTTCCATTTTTACATGGTTAAACATGATTGCAATTTCACTAAAATACAAAAACGATCACAATCGATTGTTTTCAATAATTTTATGAGATGGTAATCTTTCATATTTTGAATAATCCTTCCTACTTTAATTTAAAATGCATCTATATTTTCCTTTTGGGTCCTTAAAATATAAATTCTTTTTCAATTCAGCCACACCCATTTCCCCACCTTGAGATTGACCATATACATACAGCCACCATTACCAACCATTGCTTTTGGTTACCTTCTCCCACACTTCCTATTGCTTTTGCTTTATCAATCTTTAATTTCTAGTTTTACATGTCACAACTTTCAATCTTTAAAGAACATAGTTCTTTCTTAAAAGTAAAACGACATTTGATTTAATACCATTTTTAGGACAATCGTTAGCTGATTGCGACATCGATAGCGATAGTTGATAATTGAGAGTTTGGTGCAATGAAGCTGTCGGTGCTACATCTTCCTCAAATCCAATTACAAAGTGAATCTTAATTGCACTAGACCCCATCACTTTTAATGCTAAGATCATCGACCGACGCATAAATAAACAAAAAGAAAGCATGTCTACTATCAATAACATTAGCTTTACTCGTGTTAAACAAGAAAATGCGTCTAACGGTTAATATCATTGTATCGTTTTCTTTGTTTTGTACCCTATGTGTCGGACATATAGAGGTCCACTTTGAATATAGTGCTTTAAGAAATAAAAGAAGTAACCCCAAAACATTGTTTCATATGATGGTATTTTCAGAAAAGCCATAACCATCTTCAAGAATACCACCACTTCTATCTAATCGTTTCTCGACTTGACAAAGCCTGGGGGACAATCTTGAAATAATAAGAGGCGATGGTTGAAATTTCTAATTCCAAAATAATTATTTTATGTAATTTTAACCTGTGTAATATAGCTTTGGGTTGAAAAAGACCACGATAAAGCTTTTTCAGGCCGGAGTTTTTTGGGCTTTTTCAGACAAGTTAGTAGGCCCCAAGCCTACCCCAAAATCTCGGCCTGAACGGCTTTGAGGTTGGCCCGGACCGGAATTCGGGCCCACAAGCCGGGGCTTTTAAGGTCGGGCTCGTAAGATAATAATTTTATGTTTAACAAAAGGAAGAGAATAGTAACATAAGGGTAAAACATAAAAGGCAAAAACCGATATAGCAAGTTGTGATCCTTATTGAAATGATGTGGTTGAAAGGTGCAGGGCATTGTATGGTAGGTCCACCCCTGCCTGCAATCATACTGAACGACGAGTAATAAAAGTAAAAACCACCACATATGAATGAAAGGGCAGGACCATTATTTTTAATGCGCAGAAAATTGCAATTTCGAAACAAAATTAATAATAATATTTCAAAAGTTGATTTTTATTTTTTTAAAAGATGAAGGAAAGTAGAATCACTGGGGGACAAAGATGATTTAAGGGCAAGGCAAATCGAGCAAGTGAGAAGTAGGAATATGTCATTCCTGATCGTCTAGATGTCCAAACATATCGTTCCAATTAGATGCCGCTTCTTCGGGTGTCCTAAAACACCAGATGTGGGACTTGTCTTTCTCCCGGCTTTCAAGAATTTCCTGCACTTGAATCTACTTGTTACAACTTCTGCTTTCTCAAACCTTAACATGATGAATCATATATGTGTGTATATATATATATTACCTCGACTTCGTGAGACCTCTTTGTTTTGAGTTTTAAACAATCAACAAGAGCATTCCACTTCCCAGAACAATTATCAAGGGATCCAAGTCGATAGTATTGTTGCATTTGATGTACTGGAGCTGCCATCATCAAATTTCTATTACATGTTAAATATACACATCTATATCTATACATATTCTTTTCGCTATATGAGAGATTTACAAATCAATAAATTTGAATCGCAGTGTGTGTACAAATACACATGCACCTAAAACAGGAGACAAGTTGAGTGAAGACTTACAATAGCAGAACCAGAGAGCATCGAAGGAGGTAGTGCATGATAGTTTCCGTCTAGGTAAAACTACTACTTCTTCATTCTCTACGCTCATCCTTCTCTTATCTCTCTCTGTGTCTTTGCTCGCCAAAGGTGTTTTGGGGTTTCAGCTAACAAAGATGGTTCAAATCCAAGAACCAAACTAACAAAATACCCAAAATTTAGGATAGATGGTCAGAACCCTACAAAACAACAGCAAAAGTATATTCAATCACTGGGATCTGAATAGATTACATGTATTATCTATACCTACATGACCATGTCCCAGGAAATATACAAAGAAATACGAGCATCAATTAAGCTATACTTGGGATTTCGTTGTCGTTGTTCCTGCTTTTTGTGGGATATTTCCTTTTTAGGGTCAGATGTCTTGCAAATCAGTAATAGTGTCATCTGTTCACATGTGATCAGGTGGGGTTTGAAATTCATATGTGGAAGCTAAACAGATCTTTGTCACTCTTATTCAAACAGATTTCCAATCACCTATCTCACAAAACAACCATTGTAGTTGTAAAAATGCAAAAACAAAAAACCACCTATGCAATTTCTTCTGTAAAAGAAAGCAAACCAAACCAAACAAACCAATGACTCCCACACTGAAGGATATGCTGAACACAAATTCTGATCAAAGAATTGACAAATATGCTGAACACAATTTCTGAATGATAATATCAATTTAACAACTTGATTTAACAAAATGATATTTGAATACAGTTAAAATACTTGAACACTTCCATTCATACCTATTCCCAATCATGTCTTCACATTTTGACCCCAAACTATCCACAAGTCGGGTGCCCGCTGCTACTTTAAATGTGAAAGGAGTGAAGTTAGCCCTAATTGTGTGTGAGCAATCAATCGTGACAAGTCGACCGATCCAATCTGTCGGCGGCGGGTTAATTCCGAGCGAGAGGTCAAACCAATCTTAATTATATATATTTTTATATATAATAATTAAGAATAATTAAAATTTAGCATATTTTTCTTTCAGATTTCATTTTCCTAAACACAAATCCACACCTCTTAATCAACAAGTGAAGCAAAAACAAAAAAAATAGCAGCAGTAACAATTCTCATTGCAAAGAACATTATCTCCTGATCAACAAGTATATGATACTCTAAGGAAAACATGAGAAAGTTGTAAAGTAAATACACAGTAACAAGATTCAAGCAAAGAACATACTTCTCCAAGTTGACTCCTCTCTCTCTTTCTCTTTCTCTCCAGGAAAGGCAACACACACATGGGTGTTTCAAAAGACTGAGGATTCTATTTGAGCCAAGTACAACAACAACAGCACAGCAAACAGACAAAGGGTACTTAGGGGTTCCAACTCACTTTCAATTCCTCCTGCCACAATGTGAAATGGAACTGATTGGTTGAATTTGGTTCGATCGAGCTTCATGGTTTGGTTTGGTTCAGTTCCAATTCACTTTTAATCCTCCAGCAAAACGACCATCTAATAGGTGCAAATAAAACCTAAGTGCTCACTGGAACAACACTCATTGTGTTCCTAGAAGTGTAAAAATCGCTATAGATAAAACCTATGTGTTCATACTTCATAGGAACAACAAATGGATCGAAACGAGGACACTCCCAAACTCCAGCATTGCCAAAACCTTAAATATCTACAAGAGATAAATGTTCTGATAGAGATCATGCTCTCAAATCTGCAAAAACTCCTACTTCCAGAACAATACATGGATACACCAAAACATTATGCTTCGCCCTCTTCGTTATAATGCTAAACACCTTTGACTTTGATCAAACAATTCATATCAATCAAGGAACAGCATCGAAACTTTAAAATCGAAATTAAGGGTACAGCAAAAAATCAATGACTAGTTTACCTTTTGATTTGATTCAGATATGTAGGCGATGATTAATTGATTATTTCATCAAATACAGCCACCAATAAGTTGAAAGCAAACAACAATATATAGCTGAACTAAGCCCAATAAGGCAATAACCCAAAGCCAAACAGCCTAAGAGTTACATTGTTCCTTCAGTCACAAAAGTTGAGTTTTACTCCCTAAGAGTCATACTTATCTAATAATGCGTACATACGGTGGTAGTGCACTAGTACTCTCTGATTAGGGGCTGTTTGTCAAATGTTGAATGATCTGGTGCTCTATATGATTTAGTACAAAGTGAAACATAACTATTTGGTAAGTGCTCTGAACAGAAAGTCTAACAAAAAATTACCATTTTAACCCACAGTGCGGTTTAATGTTAAATGAAAAAACGAATGTTTGGTAAATGTTCTAAGTTGTAGATTAACTTGCATATATATAACTTTGTAAACAAAAATTACAAAAAAAAAAATAAGTTACTATTGCCACATTGCAATATAAATCAAAACACAACATGAATCGTTCAAGTTCTAGTTTTATAATTTTTTTTTTGTTGATCGGCATGGAGAGGGACAAAATCACCAAGACAGTTAAGAAACATGTTGACAAATGACAACCACGGCTTCCGATCAATGTTGTTGCATCTTCAAACTCACTTGGAGTGATTTGTTCAGAATTCAATAAACTCAGCCTTGGCTTAAAATAGTTGATTCCAATGACAAAATTCCAACATTACAAGGGGAACCTAACCCATCATGTTAAATGAAACGTCCTGTTAAACGAATCCTCGTGTTTCATCATTTCTATAAAAAGGGTGACTACTATCACGTAGCATGCAAGAAATTCGATGGTGTCTGCGAAAAATTTGTAATAGCAAGTTAAGTGCATCAGTGATCTGCAGATAGATCTATTTCAGTTACAAACAATCTATTGTCATCGTCTTCACCAATTAAGCAGTATAACTTCCAAGATCTCATAGCAATTTTATATAAACAATAAATTTGTAACAGCCACAACGTATATAATACAAAGTCCTTCAGAAACCATAAAGGCTGAGCACAATGGGGGTAATTACAAACGAGTTTGAAGATGCAACAGCAGCAACAAAAAAGAAATCTCACTGAAAACTTTTATCAAACACTTGGTGGTCATGAAAAAAAAATGAACACAATAAGGGTAGTAACAAACAAATATAAGATCAAAGTGGGGTAATCAAAAATCAAGACGGAGACATGTTGAAAAGAAAGATGCAGACTTCAAAAACCCCCAAAAGAAATGACACCCGAACACAAATTATTGTTCCAAATACCACGTAAATCACATCATTCATAGTTTCAAACCTAGAATTAGATAAGTGTTTCACATACGTACAAGATTGATATGAGATACGAGAGCCAACAATAACGAGGAGAAGATAGACGTACCTGAAGAGAACCGTTGTGAGAGATCGTATCCAGAATAGAGAGAAGAAGGGCTATGGGGAAAAACTGACGCTTCTGAATGATATGTAATCACTCAGAGTGATATGTAATCACTCAGAGCTTGTTAAATATATTATCCTCACAATGCGGTGGGTTCCGTAAATTTTTACGATTTTTAAGTTTTACTTGTTTTTAATCTTGATATATTAACGTAATTTAAATAAATAAGAGTTATGGTTTCAATTACAGTCTATCAATGAAAAAAATTATATAACAATTTAAAATCTAATATATTTAAAACTCCACAAATGTGTTCAATTTACACCGAGAGCAAAGAATCAAGAGATCGAGACCGAGAGTTTTAGAGTAATTGAATGGGAGATGAATGAGAAAACTTTTAAGAATTCTTGTGAATATCAGTTTGAATCTCACATTAGGGGATGAGGAGAAGACATAAAGGTATGAGAGGTATGAGAGGATGAAGGCATGAGTGAAAGGTGTCGAAAGTATTTTGGGAACATTAAAAGAAAATGTAATAATATGCATTGGTAACTTGTACTATATGTTATTTTAATTGTAGATTAAGAGATTTTAAGACTGAATACATAAAGTAATAATACTTAATGCATTATGAGTTATTTTTTAAGACTTTTAAGACTTTGTGCATAAATGTATAGTACTTTGTACATTAAAAACTGTTTTTTAAGATTTTTGATAAATCTGATTTATAATGTAGTATAGATAAACGAAACCACATAAACATTTTGTAAAGTGCGTTTTTAGGGGTGAGCACGGGTCAGATTGGACAATAAAAGGTCAAAACCGATGGGTACCGGGTTATAATATTATACCCCGTAATATGCAATTCGGGTTCGGGGCAGTTCGGGTTTGGTCGGGTTCGGACGGGTTCGGTTTTTTGATAACAATAGAAGGACCTGCTTCTGTTTGATGCTTACATAGTTACACTAATGCTTCTGCTTGCTGCTTACACTATTAGAACCAGTACCTGCTTCTGCTTGCTGCTTACAGGCAAGCCTTAAACTAATGTTTAAAGCCTTCTCATGGGCATTTTACAATTTACACACCAATGCTTAAAGCCTTCTCATGGGCATTTTACACACTAATGCTCACCTTAGTTGTCACATTCTGGTTGGTCGGCGCCTTGACAGTTGCTGCTTACAGCCCCTACTGCCCTTATAGCCTTACTACGTACCTATTTGCTTGCTGCTTACAGCCTTATTTACAATGTGCCTCAATGACTTAATCAAATGTCAATGGCTTTGTTGCTGCTTGCTGTGCCTCAATGGCTTTGTTGCTGCTGTGCAGCTTGTGCTGCACTAACACTAAGGGCCCTCCTTTACAAGAAAGGGACTAACACTAACACTTGAGATGAGACTTGAGAGGCAGAGAGTTGAGACTTGAGAGAGGCGAGACTCGAGAGAGGCAGAGAGTCGACTGTCGAGAGAGGCAGAGTCGCAGTGAGTGGGGGTGCGGTCGGAGTCGGTCGGACGAGTCACGAGTGAATGATTTGAATCCCTAGAAAAATAAGTCTTTTTTGTGTTCTTCAGGTTTTGGGCGGGTTCGGGTTTGGGATCATGTGATCCTACCTGATCCATGTTACCCGATATTATTTTCGAACCTCAGGTTGGTTCGGTTAATATACATCGATTCGGATTGGGGTTTTCGGGTAAATCGGGTAGGGTCGGGTTTTGCACAGCTCTATGCGATTTAATGATATATTGTAAAATAAAATATGCTTGTTTGATAACTGTTTAGAATAAAATTAGGACTGGGAAAAATTCAAAAGATTTTTAAAATATTCAGACGCATTTTTTTTTATCAAATGAATTTACCTTTTAATAATTCAAAGGATGTGCCTTGATAAAACTATTAAGAAGTAAACAAAACCCATATTTATATAATTTTCATTAATGTTAAAAAAATCTATAAACGAAATTCTTATAAAATTTATAATTGTGAATTTCTTAAAAAATACTAGAAGCGTACTCGCGCAATGCAGCGAGATACATCGTGTTTTTAATATTTCATTTTATTCTTTATCTCAGTCGATGTTATAATATGGCTTTATGTGATTTTGAGAAAGCGATAATGTTTTTATTTTTAAATAAAAT